TGTTGGGGTCCAACCCCAGCGGGTCCAGGGGTCCCCAAAGGTGTGGACGGAGTCGGCGAAGAAGGAATGACATGGAGACAGCCTTCAGTTGATCAGCAGCCTAGTCAGGACCTCTAGCCAGGATCTCCAGCCAGAGTTCTGGTCGGGATCTCCAGCGAAGTTCTGGTTAGGATCTGATGAGGATCTGATGTTTATTGTCTTGTTACATCTATATTTATACCAGCCGATTTTAATCCTGTCAATTTCTATTACAAAGGTTAGGGCGTTTCTTATCTCCATTCCAGGGAGTAAAGATTATGTAGCTTAACTACCCGCCTGGCACTTAGTTAAGGGGTTGTATCCCCTCCCTAACCTCAGGGAAAAATCCCTACCTGGGGAAACAACCTTTCTCGGAGAGGTGACCTTGGTTAAAACACATGGCGCTTAAGGAGAGCAAACATATTAAGAACAATATGCTATATATGCCAGGTCCCTTGAAACATATGCTGTGCAGATGTTTCTTTCCTGCAGCGACTGTGTCAAGCAGCAAGGATGGACCGGCTTCCGGCAGAGTGGGGATCAAACCCTCAACCTTACGGTGCACAAGACAACACTCCAACCAACCGAGTAACCTGGCCAGTGAGGTTGTGTTCCTTCTTTCACCATTGACGTGGAAGAATATTGTTCTTGCCCATAAATAAATATTCAATCACTTTTCTGAAAACTCAGGGCCCTCTCTCTGTAGCCTAAAATAACAGTTCTCAAATTGTTAAAAATATTGTCATGTTCTTGATTGGGGTGGTTGTTACATGAAGGTATACATTTGTCAAAAATCATCAGCCTCGCCCAGCTGGTGTGGCCCACTGGTTGAGCGTTGACCCATACACCAAGAAGTTGCTGGTTCAATTCCCCATCAGGGCACATTCGGACTTGATCCTCAGTAGGGAGTGTGCAGGAGACAGCCCATTGATGTTTCTCATCGATGTTTCTCTCTCTCCCTTCTTCTCTGAAATAAATAAAAATATACTTTTAAAAAAGAAATTCTCCAGCATATTAACAAGTCGCATAATCACCACATCATATTTTCAGATACTAGGTAATTTCCCTCCACACATTTTCATTATTCCATGTTTCATAAAGACAAGAAATATATTAATTTCCTTTTAACTCTACATAGAAAAACAATAGCACAGGTATGACAATAAGTGGCAGCTGCCTCTAGGCCTCAATGTGGAGGTAACAGAGCAGTGGGGACTGTGGCAAACCAGAACACCATTCCCCATCTGAAGGGGAAAGTTGCTGTGCAGCTCCAGCCAGCTGTTGCCCTGTGGGAGAGCTGGTCCTATATTGCCATACTTTCCCAATTTTTATATGTTGGCAACCAGTTCAAATTGCTCTAAAATACTGTAAAGGCCAAAGGGATGATGGAAATGAAAAGAAAACCAACCTGATGAATCTGGCCTGACCCAGTGTCATTATCTGACCTAGAACACAACCTTCTTATGGGAAGACTGAGGCCCAAAGAAAGGAAACACTCCCAAATCATGAGGTAAGTTAGGGCTGGACAGGACTTAAAACCCAAGTCCCTGGGTTTCCAGGCAGAAGCTTTCCCCACAAGGCAAACAGAGGTAGTTTCTTTGTCTCTCATCTAGTGCTTCATGTTTTAGTTGCTGATTGACCAAATATAAATGACTTGTGTATGAAAGCTTTAGCCTTAGGTCAAGTTCAAGCCAGTGTGATATGCCCACTGTTGTGTAGAATTTGCATGCATCATACCCTTATTTATAATAACACCAATAGGTATCCCTGTTTTGAGCACTAAATCTGTGCCAAGCTCAATACTAGGTGTTCTTTACTCACATCATATCATTCAGTCCTGTGATAATCTCATGATTTAGGTACCACTATTACCTCCGTTTTACAGATGAGGAAACTGAGGCTTACCAAGTAAAATGACTTGCTCAAAGCCATAGTCCCACATATTTACAGCTCCAAAGTTGATGGCCTTAACCACTGGGCTGGACTATTTTTACTCATTCATTCATTCATTCCGTGAAATAGTTACAATGTGCTGGTGCCAGTTGCTGAGCCAGGAGTTATGGGGGAATACAACTCCATAGAGCCAAGTTCCAGTCTAAAACCCTGAGGCTGAGGCTAACTGAGTCCACATTCAACCCACATCCTATTCTTCTGATTCAAAGTAACAGGTAGTTCTTGAAACACATAGATGATTGGGCCATGTAATTTATACTTTAACAAAGTTGATTTAAAAATTAGCAGTAGCAACCACCTCTAGATGTTTAGGGGTCCTGCTCAAATGAAAAGATTGTGACAATGCAAACATATTAGTAGACCAGGTTTCCTGAAGACCAGACCCTCATGGTGTAGGAGAAAGACAACGTCTTGACTGCTAGGACAAAGGGTTTGGATGCTACCTGAACTCAATGGGCAGGCAGATCCTAGAGACATGAAGAGAATTGTGCTTTAGGCAGCCTGTGCACTGTGGTTCTACAAGGAGAGACGGAAGGGATGAACACTACTTTGGAGGTTATTACATGAAAAAAAGGGAGGGATAAATAATAGTTATTTCAGGGTATATTCAGCAAACATGAGGTTTAAATACTCAGATGTCTTTGGTTTAAGCAAGTTTCCAGCAGGCTCTTCATTTTTTAAAAAAAGGTAGTATGATGGAGAGGACTTTTCAAGGTTCAAATCCCAGTTCTTCAACATTCTAGCCTTGTACCCTTGGACAATTCATACATCTCAGGACCTCAATTTACTGATTTGCAAATGGGTGTAATATCTGCCTTCTAATGCCCTTGGGAGGGAGAACTAAATGGTATAATATATAGAAAGCACTTGGTAAGTGGTACATGTGCAATGTTTATTTCTTTCCTTTGTTTTCTTCTAGCTACAAGTGGAGTTGGCACATGTCCTTATCAGTTATGGGGCAGAGGAATTCAAATAACATTTTCCTTTATATAGTTCAGTGTTAAACCTCACAATGGTTTTCTGAGAGCACTGTAAATTCAACTGGGTTGAATAAGAGGAAAGAACATTTGCCTGGACACAGCCCTAGTCCCAAGAAAGCTGGACGTCGATGAACAATTCCCTTATCCCTCTGGTTTCAGCTCCTCACCTATAAAATAGGGATGGTCCTCTTTGTCCACCTTACAGAAAGGTTTGTGGGTATGTTGAACGAACTTGAAAAGAGTCTGAAGGCTTTGGCTAGAAACGAAGATAAAGATTTATTCAAGGATCTTAGAATATACAAACTGGAAACAGAGCTAGGCAAAACCCCAGAAGTGTTCCAGAGAAGAAAGAAAAGTTCTTATGGTAAAAAGCACATTCTTGAGAATTAGCAGCCCTGCATTCTTAGCCCTAGGACTGGTCAAGGAGAGTTATTAGTCAGATGTCACAAAGTCTGGATACGTGAGTCCTGGGGTAATCAGAGGGTTATATGGAGGCCTGATGCATGTCCAGATGGATGTCCAGGCATTGACACAGGACTGAAAAGTTAAAAGAGTAAGTTACCAGGCTAGTTTGAACAAGAATAGTCTTTCCTCACGCCTCAACCTTCATAATGTTAATAATTTTAGCAGCTTGGTTAAAATGACTCCATTTTATATACCCCTTATCTTCACTCTTTCCTCTGGTGTAGGGTTGTGAAAATTCTTACAAAACAGTGCGCCCAGTTGCACTGTTGTTAAACTCATCACTTGTTTGCGGAATATTTTCCTATTTCCAGCTCTGACTTCTCCCATAGGACTGTATGTCAGCGGAAATGGAGTCTGACCCTGCGTCCAGAACACAGTTACCTGGCTCAGTGACTGGTTCTCGGACTGAAGCGTCGCTCCGGTGTAACTAAGTTGAATTAAAATTCTTTGTAAATCAGTGATCGCCGCTGGGGTTACCGAGAGAATCCAGAATAAAGGAATCTATCGCATTTAGAAACTATCACTCCTTGGTTCGTGGTGATAGGCCAACATTTTAACATATCTTCGTTTTCCTACTTACACTGTGCTATTGTGGGAAATTCCTTTATTTTATTTTATTTTCATGTTCATTGATTTAAAAGATATACATATTTACCTCTCCCTAAAGTTTGGCTTCTTGACTTTCCTTCGCGATTGGCTGCAGATCATCTTAATGTGATTGGTTAAAGCATCTGCCCATTACCTTTCCCGTGTTGCGACGGAGGAAATGGAAAAAAATAGTGTTTCAAATATATTTTATTGGCTCCCGTGTAGCGACGTAGGGCTAGAACTTGGGTACTGCCAAAATATGATTGGCTTTTATGTCCGTCAGTCACACTGCCGGAAGCCCATTCTATTGCCCGGCTGGAGGGAGGGGCTTAGGCTGGAAGGGTTTTCATTGGTTCGGAGCGCTCCAGCTCGTGATGCGAGCCCGTACCCGCTCGGTTGCCGTGGTTGCAGGTCGGGCCCACCCGCTCGCCCGCTGACAGCGAGGCTTCGGGAGAAGGGAAGTGGGTCGGTTGGTCGGTCCGGAACGAGGCTCCGGCAGCCAGGCCCGCGCGGAGCTGTTG